CGTGTTTCGATTTCTTCTGGTTGAGAATATCCCAATCTGCAGATGAATGGCTTAGGAGAAAGCCATAGATGAAGATCAAGAGAAAATAATGGCTTTTTGCCATAATTAATTAGAAGGGTGGAATTTGAATATTTTTTTTTAGTTTATTTTGGATCTTAATTGGGTTTTTATAGGAAATTGGTGTGTGTATTAAAATTTGAAAAAAATACAGTTTTCACCCTTCAAGTTTTACATATTTCACATTTGGCCCCCTGTGTTGAAAACAGAACACATTTCGTTCCTTATGTTTCGAAAATTTAACACTTTTGGTCTTTTCTGTCAATTTTTCGTTAAAACTAACGGAATCAAACGTGGGTACATTACTACCGTAACTGACGGACTAACGGTAAATTGATGGAAATGATTTGAATTTTGAAGTGTCAAATTATTGAAATGTGAGGGGCCAATATGTTTTTTTGAACATAGGGGGTCAAATGTGAAATCGGTCCAAACTTGAGGGATGTAAACTGTAAATTTTCCATTAAATTTTCATTCTCACATGGGGTGTGGAAATTTTGTTTTGGGAAGGAGTGAATGATTATGCACTAAAACACATGCAAACTGAGGCTGGCAAATTAATATTTAGATTATTATATTAATTGGCAACTGAAATTGGAATTACGGGTAAATTACAACGACCCGAGGTGTGTTCAAATTATAAAAAAGACCATCATGTTTGGATAATTACATCTATTCTCAACTATGAATCTTCTTACGCGTTCTTCCTTACGGTGTCAAATTCACAGTATAATCTTCTAGATTCCATGGAATATTTTCTAGTTTGTACTCTTTTTGTTCAAAATGCAATTTCTTATGTGGAATTCGAATGGGATATAACTTGTACATAATTGAGAATATTCCATAGAATCTAGAAGATTCTAATAAATTTTAATACCGTAATAGTGAACGTGTAATATGATTATAGCTGAGGGGTGGTTGTAATTACTCAAATATGAGGGGTTTTTTTTCATAATTTGACCGTACCTGAAAGGTGGTTGTAATTTACTTGAAATTAATATATGGATTATTGGTGTTTGACATTGGAGTCTATATAGTGCTCAAGAGTTTGTGATTTTATTGTTTTTATTTTATTTTTTATTTTTTTTTATTTTTTTAAAATACAGCTGTTGATAGATCAAGTGTATTATTGAAAAATTGCATGAACATGCCTACCACCGTTACTATTGTCTAACAAAATTTTAAATGCAATTTGGGAATAAATTATGTTATCCTGACAGATACTGAAGATGTGTAGTTTATTTTTAATTGGAGTTGTTGGTCTATAAATTTACCTATTGTTTTTCCTCACTCTCTCTACTATTGCGGTTTGGGGTCCACTGAATCCGATCCGAAGAATTACGATTTTGGAACAACATTTTTCAGTTTTGAATTCCGAAATTCCCGAAAAAAATCGGAGTGGAATCGGAAATACATATCAATTTTTTTTTTGGAAATTTTGAATTCCAATTAGAAATAGTTTCGATTTTTTCTGATATTTTTCCGATTGTCTCCGACATGTTCCGAGTATTATTAATATATTATTAATATATATATATATATATGTATATATATATATATATATATGTATATATATATATGTATATATATATATATATATATATATATATATATATATATGTATATATATATATATGTATATATATATGTATATATTTTTTTGTTATTTTTCTGGATTTTTTTTTTGAAAACTTCTGAAAATTCCGAAAATAATCCGGAAAAATCTAAAATATTTCAAAAATTCTGAAAAAATGAATAATTCTAATTTTCCGAAATATCCAAAAAAAATCATAATCAGAATCAATTATGCAACTCCGAAAAAAATCAAGAATTTCCTAAAAGTGTCAAATACGATCCGATCCGTCCAATTTCCACCACTACGTGTGGTCTCAGTCCGATAGTTTACCAATATTGAATAATTGAAGCTAATATAGTAGGCGCCCCATCTACTATTTGTTTTAATTTAGATGAAATTATCACCTAATATGCATGTCTGAAAGAACAATGGAGTGATGACAATTAGATTTTGTCTGTTACAATATTTTTTTTATAGGTACATTTAGGGAAGAAAAAAAAAACATTATTTGATTTGAGTTTAATTACAGAAAAATGGAATCGTCACAACTCCAACCAGAAGAGGACGCAAAACCAAGAATCAACATCTTATTAAACGAAGACCAAACGAAAATCAAAATGAAAACAAACCGGCAAGCTGCAGCTGCAGCTGCAGTACACACACGAACAATCAAACACCAAACAAATTACATTGCAGTACACAACTTAACATAAGCACACAATAAATACTCCATTACATACATAGTAGGTAGTTCACGAAACAACGCTTTACAGTTCTCGGGAACATATTATTAGTCCAAATTCATATTCCCTTTATGCCCTTCGCCCGAAATTCGTATTCCTATACAATAAAAAGGAGTAAAAAGTTTGAGCAGATTCGCAGACATGGCTCAATTCTTCAGAAGCGTATGTAATGGAGAAAACATAATAATACGAACAAATCTAGATCATACTAAGGCATATAGGATAACATAAATCTAGAAGGCTATAAAACAGAAGAATACCTTGTGCGCAATAAAACGTGGAATTCAGCAATCGTAAAATGTGACAGTCAGCTCTTTATTGCCGTTATCTCTCTGCTTTTCGATTATTTGGTTAACTTTTTCCTGAAATTCTTTGGGCATTGATCCGATCATAAATCTTTCAAGAGTTGATATTTCTGATAATCCAGAAGGGATAGCTTCCAATTTATTGCACCGCTCGATAGTGATAACAACAAGCCTTGGCATGGCAGCTTCGTCAACCTCCCATTCCTCCAAATATTGTAAAGTTGCTAGTTTAAGACTTTCAAGTCGAAGGAAGTGATTTGGCTCAGAACACACCATTTTTTTCCCCACGAATGCGTCTTTGCATAAGACGAGGCTCCTGAGGTTAGGAAACTTCGCAAATACCGGCATGGGGTCTTCACCAAATTCGGATCCAATAAACACCACAGAAGTGATGTTCGAACCGATGTTCCGATGGGGTGGCATCACTCCCAGATACCCCTCGAAGTCCAAATTATGAAGACCATTGCACTCCAGCAACTCCGCCACAATCGCGAGCCTTTCTTTTGAGTAAGAATCAAATTTTTTAACATCAAGTGACGAGTGGCGTAGGAATTTACTCGAATCCATACACCCGATGATGTTCTTCAAATCCGTGTTGCCCTCCACAACCCCTGATAGGATTTGAAGGTTTTCTAGCTGTAGGAGGTCGTTCGTATCACAAAGGCTAGCGTTGAAGTTCTCGAGTACTTGGAGCTTCTTCAGGGTGTTCAGCTTCAACTTATCATTAGTATCAACTCGAAATGCCAGAGGGAAGTACAAATGCCTCAAGCTTGATATCTTCCACAGGACATTCGGTATTGTCATTACACAACAATCTATTACACGTAAATCCAACGTTTCCAGAAAGGGGAAGCTGCAAAAAGACGACGGAAACACCTTGAGATGGCATCCTTGGAAGCTCAAGTGCCTGAGGTAAATTAGTTTCTGTATACCTCTCGGGAGCTTTTTAACTTGAAAATCAACCCCGTCAAAGTGCAACACCCTCGCCCCTTGGAACTCGGTGAGGTCGGAGAATGCTCTAGGCAAGTTGCTAGACGATGCTGGTTTGACGTGAGATTCGTCTCTATCATAGAAAAGAATCGATCTGATATCTCTGGCATCGCGTATGTTCAAAAGAGGATCGTCGTTGACATCTTTAAACTTGTACAGGTATATGACAAGCCTGCGAGATGAAGAGCTTATTTTGCCTCCGTTTCCAAAATCAATGACATCGAAAAATTCTTCCTGCTTTCCGTTTGATATGCACAGTTTACGTATCAGGTCGTGAAGCTGGCACGATTTAAACCTTGTGGGGTCAGACACCTCGTTTTCCACCACAAACACCAGGCTTCTATCAACGAGCTGCTTTAAATAAGCTTCAGCAACTTCCTTTTGTGTTCGATTGTCTAGAGCCCTCGTTGATATCAGCCCTTCAGCCATCCACAGTAAGTACAACTTTTCCACCGGTATAGCTTCGTCTTCGGGGAAATGTCCCAAATAAAGAAAACACGGCTTCAAATGTAACGGTAAGTGATTGTAGCTTAGAGGCAAAACTGATTCCGTTTCTTGTGAACATCCGTCTCCTGCAACCAGTACGTCTAGCACCTCCTTCCATTCTTTCAAATTCTTCTTCCTCAAAATACCACCTATCACAGTTATAGCTAATGGGAGCCCTTTACAATATTTGGCTATTTGTTTCCCCACCATCTCTATCTCCGGGTTAAATTCCGTCCCTGCCGAAAACCAAAGACTTGAGTAAACTAATTACATTAAATCAGCATGTTTTCATGACTGGAATAGTCGTTTTTTTTCATATCTTTAAACCGTAAGGCCCCGTTTGGTTGCCAAGATAAGATTAGCTAAGATAAGACTAAATAATCTAATGAAACCCAATTGTTTTATTTAGGGGTGCAAGTTGGAAAGGAAATTGCAATTTCCGCCGGTTCCGATCCCAAAAGGTCTGATTTTGGAACAACCTTTTTCATTCCGACTTTTGAAATTCCGATTTCCGAATTTTTCCAATTTTTTTGGATTGGAATTGGAATTATATAAAATAAATTTGGAATTTCCAATTTCCGATCCGATTTAATTTTTGACATTAATTCCAACAAATTCCGATTTTTTTCCGGAAAATACACCTATAAATAATATATATTACATAATACTTATTTTAAGTTTTTATTTATTTTCAAGAAACAGTAATTTGATTTAAAGTTTTGTTTTAGGATTTTAACATATTGAATTGTTGTTAGATGTTTTATTGATGTGTTTATTTTTATTTATTTTTTAACTCAAATTTAGTACTCCCTCCGTTCCTTTATAATTGTCGTTTTTAGCTTGTGCACAAGGATTAAGGATCTTAATAAATGTTGCTTAATTTTAGAAAAATATATGTTTTTATACTAAAATGCCCTTGCCAATAATTAATGTGAGAGAATGTTGTAGATAGTTAATAAGGGTAAAATTGATAATTATACAATTAATGCAGTATTGGAAATGTAAAATGACAGATAATATGGAACAAAAATAATTTTAAAAAGAGACAGTTATTGTGGAACAGAGGGAGTAGTTATTAGTTTCACTTTTATCAAAGTGGATGTTCTTATTTTTGGAAAATTAAGAAAATTTCCGCTAAGTTTTGAAATTTTAAAGCTTATGTGATTTCTGATTTTTTCCGAAATTCCGAAATTTTCGGGCCTTTTGGTATTGGAATGAATTTTTAGATTACGAGAATATTGGAACTGGAATTGGAATTGACTTGTACTTCCAAAATTTTTTGGATTTTTTTCCGAAAAGGCTAATTCTGATCCGAGATCCGATCCATCTGACTTTCACCCCTAGTTTTATTGGACCTTGGAAAGTCCAACAAAAAACATGCTTAAAAGGCAACATAAGTCATGATAACATACTACGCAGGTCGACCCGGTAAGTTATCGTCGACCCGGTAAGTTATAAGGGATACCAAACATCAAACAAAGTCCAACTATTCAATTAATCATAGCTAATCTCACCAACCAAACAACCAAACGAGGCCTAAAAGTTTTGAATTGTAAGATTTAACCGATTTTTGCACATTTACGATTTATTCAACGATTCAAAAAAGTGGTCATGCTTGGAAGATCAATTAAAAAATTGGAAATGTACCATCCATCACTCCAGATGCCGATTGCAAAATCTCCCAACTTCGATCCTCGGGCAACAGCTTCATTTCTAGAACGGATGTGGACATTTGCTTTGCCACTTCCTCGTCCTGAGTGGTGATGACGATTCTGCTTCCGTTATTGTCGTCCGGAAAGGCGAACCGCATCGTGTCCCAGGCCTCGAACGACAAGACATCGTCCAGAACAACAAGGTATCTCCTCCCCTTTTGAGCTTTGTAAAGCTGATCCATCAACACCATCATCTCCATCGCCGCAATCTCACTCTTACTCCGTTCGGGCCGAAGGGAGGACAACACACTCTCCAGAATGCCCCTCGCCTGGAAATTCTGGCCAACGTATGCCCAAGCCCGGGTATCGAAATGTTCGATCACGAATCGGTTGTTGTACACCGATTGCGCGAGAGTCGTCTTCCCTATGCCGCCCATACCGCATACCGCGACGACCGATAACTTTGACTCCGGTCCTACCAATCGAGCCGTCAACTCCGTTACATCTTCTCCGCCGGAACGAACTTCCGTTCGGAGGATTTGCGCCGGCGGCGGCGGCGGCGGCTCTACAACCACAACAGATCTTACTCCTGATCTAGGTGATCCTTCTCCTCCACCGGCCGTTACACTTCTGATCTCGTCGATCCTCTTACTAAAGGCGTGAAGATCCTTCCGGAGACTCCTCGCCGTAGGGTACTTCAAAACGCTACCTAGTTTCCATTTCGAATCCGCCGCCGCCGCCGCTTGTCTCCAAGCGTAAGACTCCACGGCATCCTCGACGTCGTACGCTAGCTGTGTGATTCTTCGCTTCTCCTCTTCGCCGATTTTGATCCTTCCATTTTCGTCGGACATCAATTTGTTTTCAATTAGCTTGATCTCTGACCGAAGCTGCAAAACTCCGGCGCGCAAATCGCCTTCGCACGGCGCCGGAGCTCCGTCGGCGAGAAGCAAATGGTCCAGCCTTTCCGCCGTTGAAGACACCGCTGAGAACGTGCTCATCGTTGACTTTTGGTAGACTTTGGTTCCCCTCAGAGAGAGAGAGAGAGCCGTTCGTTGAATTTTAAAATATCTCCTTTTTTACTCTCTCAAGAAAATACCCCCAATTATTTTTTTTGTTTCCAATTATACCCCTGTCTTCGTGAAATAACCTTTCAAAACTTCATCGTTTGCTTACCTATATCGAATTACATTGGATTAGATGAGATTGGATTAATATCCCCACTGACTAAATTAATTATTTAGTCAGTAAGATGTTTGATTCGTTAGACTAAATCTTGTATTAAATTTGTTAAATTCTGGTATTTAATGTGAATTGTCTGAAAAATATTTTAATTAAAAAAATTAAGATATTGTTTTGGGATAAAATTGTATTTTCCTCTTTTAATCACCCCCTACAAAATTAATCGCAGGGGGAGAGGTGCTACTAATTTAACCAAATAATAGCACTTAATTGCGAGCTTTGAGTGTAGTAGCGGGCTTGACTAAATACGAATCTCATCAACCAAACATCTTACTAACCCCTACTATTTAGTTAATAGAGGTTAATAGCACTAAGCAAACGAGGCCTAATTAATTTATTTTTTGAGTGGTTTGCAGGTTCAAATCTAAATAGTTCGATTTGAGCGCCACTAATCTAATCCTATTTTTATAATCAACAAATTAAAATTATGTGATTGGCCTCAATAAGTATTAATTAACATATATGATTAATATATATCTTAGAGAAAAACAGATCTTTAATCAGCAGATGTCTTAGACCAAACTCTTACTAGTTTATTAGGGCAAATTCAACAGTGGTAATAAAAAATGAATAATCAAATGTCTTTTGATTATTGCTACCGTGTTTTCGTTATCGAATAAAGATCTTCCACTCCAATAATACAATATCAATGGACCGTCAATTTTTGAATATATTAATTTATCCAATTCAACCAATTTAAATATATATCTCTGATAAGATTTCATATCTATAATATTTTTGTTGCCACATGTCAACTTATGATTCATTGTCAAGATTTTCAATAAGATTTATTATATATATATATATATATATATTGTATCTTTAAAAACTCACATTCCTTTACAATTTTTATCATATTTTCTCAATTTATTTCAGTATACATTGTGATTCCGCGTTCTAAATGCTTTCTTAACCGACTCTGATTCAAATGATCTTGAAATGCTCTTAGAAGCAATGGAAGAGGAGGAAGTTAAGAGAGAAAGACAACGCAAGCGTCGTCGTGGTTCAGTTCGGGGTAGAAGGGTTATTCATCGCAACAGAGTTGAAGGTCATAATAGACTTTATCGTGATTATTTCGCTGATAATCCTGTATATCATGATGTTTATTTCAGGAGAAGGTTTCGTATGCACAAACCTCTATTTTGTAGAGTTATTTCTAATATCGAAGCATACAATCACTATTTCGTCCAAAGAAATAATGCTACAGGGGTCTCTGGTTTATCAAGTCTTCAAAAAGTAATTGCTGCATATAGAATACTTGCCTATGGAGTTTCTGCCGATTTACTGGATGGCACCATACACATAGGTGAAAGCACTACTATTGAGAGTTTACGCCATTTTGTAAAAGCAATTGTTGCCGTTTTTTGTGAACCATATTTAAGAGCACCGAATGCGGTCGATCTGTCTCGGCTGCTCCAATTCAACGAGCAACGTGAATTTCCAGGAATGATCGGAAGTATCGATTGTATGCACTGGGAATGGAAAAATTGTCCAACCGCATGGCAAAGTATGTACTCGGGTCATTTTCGTACACCAACCATTATATTAGAGGCGGTCGCATCACACAATCTTTGGACATGGCATGCCTTTTTTGGAATGCCCGGCTCACTTAACGATATTACTGTTCTTGAAAGATCTTCAATCTTTTCGGCATTAGCAAATGGTCGTTTTCCCCCTGTTAATTTTACAGTTAATGGAAATGATTATCGCATGGGCTATTATCTAGCAGATGGAATTTACCCATCATGGCTACTTTCGTGAAGACAATAACAGCTCCAATAGATTTAAAGGCAAAATATTTTGCAACAATCCCAAGAAGTTGCGAGAAAAGACGTAGAGCGGGCCTTTGGGGTACTACAAGCTCGTTTTAATGTATGCATGGGCCGGCACGATTCTAGGATAAGGAGACATTGCGTAATATAACGAAGACATGCATTATAATGCATAACATGATCATTGAGGATTAAAGAGGTCCCGGTAGCATTGATTTTGATTATGTTACTCCAAATGTTACACCATCACATGAACATACAAATGAGTTTACGGAGTTTATTCAAACTCATCACCAAATTCAGGATCTTACTACTCATTCCCGACTCAAGCATGATCTTGTTGACCATTTGTGGAATTGGACGGTAAAAAATAGTATTGTTTGTCAATTGCAACCAATGTTCTTATTATTTTATTTTTGTTGTATTTCATTATAAACCTAAAATATGTGTCTATGATGATACGTAATAATCACCTAAATATATTCGAGGATATGAATCAGGTCACTGATCACGTGCTTGATAGCTTTGGGACACCTTAATAATTTGGAGATTCCCGTGTGGAAAGTAAACGTGAACTAAGCCGGGGGTTGATCCGGCGAAAACCCCTCCAATGATTAAGTCAGATATTTGGATCGTGAAATATTCGAGTGGAATATAAGTTCTATTTATAGTTCCTTGATTGGGTCGATATCAATTTATTAGGCCCAAACCTTATTTGAAGGTGATTAGGCTTTTGTAGTAATAACTTCTGAATTGAGCTTGTGGCCCAGTAGATAATCAAATCGCAGGTCCATTGGGCTGGCCCAATAGGTATATCATTAAGCCCCCACTCTCGGTTCGATGTGGGAGCTAAGTTGAAAGAGGTGCCAGATCGTGAACAGTTTTTACTCTCGACACGATCGGGAACCCATTTCGACATGGCCCCCACATCGACTGGAGAGTGGGGGACTTAATGATATGTCTAATTGGGCCAACCCAATGGGCCTACAATTTATTTACCTACTGGGTCACGAGACCAATATTGAAGACCACTACCACCGAGGCCCAATCACCTTCAAATAAGGTTTGAGCCCAACAATCTCAAAGTATAAATAACGTTTTAATTCATTTATCAAAGGTACGCCCTATTATCTGAATAATACTACAAGTCATATTATCTCAACTATTTATACAATCCGCACGTCTGACTTGAGCGTCAGAGGGGTTTCCGCCGGATCAAACTCCGGCCTAGTTCACGTGTTCTCTGTTCGCATGTATCTCAGGGACATCTAGCACATGAGCAATGTTAGAGTATATTATATTATTAGATATTATAGAATATTAGGATTCTATTATGATTCGGTTACCTAGATTAGTTATGATTTAGTTACCTAGTGAAACTCTATTACCTCGTATTATTTTTCTATATATATTCCATGTAAATCAACCCACAACACAATGGGGGTTTATATTACGTATTATTATTTCTTTCTTTCTCTTATTCTATTCTTCCTATATGGTATCAGAGCACCAGGTTTTTTAACCTAGTCGCCCTTCTTCTCCATGGCACTGACCACCCAATTTTCTCCCTCCCTGGTGGTGGTACTCTTAATATCTTTCTTTTTCTATCTATTCCATGAACACCACCCGAATTTTCTCCCTTCCGTTCTTCTTCTTCTTCCTCTTTTCTTCTCTATGGCCTAAAACCTAGCCGCCGCCTCTCTTCTTCTCCATAGCCGGCGACCACCAAACCAATTCTCTCCCTCCCGGTGGTGGACTGGTGGTACTCTTCTCTCTATAAGTCTTTTTCTATCAGATCCATAAACACCACCCAATTTTCCTCATTCCCCCGGTGGTGCTACTCTTCTTTTTTATGTTATATTATTTTCCGACATCTTCTTCTTAGTCGGTTAATCTATTTTCTCTCTTTTTCATATATATCCTTCTTTTAATTATTCTTCTTCCCCCTCTCATATCTTCTCCCAATCTCTCTCGATTCATACAAAAAAAAATGCTTATTTTTCTCTCTCGTTATTATTTTATTCTTTTTTTTTTCTATCAATTGGGCAGGTATTTTCACAGAGGAATTCTCTAGCGTTGTGTTTCGCGGTTTCTGTCCAGTTTTCACTTTTGGAGTTTATTTGTTCCGACTGCGAGAGCGTGTTAGCAAGTGATTGTCCAGTCTTCGCGTTCGTCACGTTTCGACTGCGGGGCATGTTAGAGTATATTATATTATTAGATATTATATGATATTAGGATTCTATTATGATCCAGTTACCTAAATTAGTTAGGATTTAGTTACCTAGTGAAACTCTATTACCTCGTATTATTTCTCTATATATATTCCATGTAAATCAACCCATAACACAATGGGGGTTTATATTACGTATTATTATTTCTCTCTTTCTCAAATTCTATTCTTCCTATAAGCACTGATCCACTTTGCTCTCCCTCTATCTATTTCTAGCATCATCAGTCTGGTACCATGTTATTTGGTATGTATCATTTTATTAAGAGTTAGTTCTTTTTATCATCTACTAAGTCTTTATGGAATTTCATGTATTGATGCAAATTTTATCTAATTCTTGTCCATTTTATTCATATGTTTTACAATTTTGAATAATTAAAAGAACATAATGGATTCAAAATTACTTTTTATTATAGATAAAGCCGCAAAATACAATACATATTAAAAATCTAGAGACATATTAAAAATCATATTTAACAATGCGAAATACCTAAAATGATTATACTAAACCATTTCTTCTCAATATTTCATTTTTTTTTCATTTTCCAATAAGTTGCCTCAGTCTCTTCCAATCCTGTAGTGTCTTTATTCATAATCTCAATCTCTACTCGGTGTCCGTCTATACATTTACGCTCTTCGTCGTCATTTGTTGCCTTTTGATGTAATGTTATGAGTCTTTCGCGTTGATCACATCTTTCGCGTTCCATCGCTATCTTTGTTTCCAAACGCTCATTTATAAGTGACATCGGCACTGTAGATGAGGTTCCGCCTTCAGTTCTTCCTTGTTTTCCCTTGAGCTGTTATTTTGATGATTTGTTACCTAAAGGCCGATCTTTATTGACACAAGATTCGTTGTTACCTTCTGAAGATATAGGAATATCTTATGCATTTGCTTGCTTATTTGAAGTATCAAGCCACTTCTTCTCCTGCTTTAGACGATTGAAACAATGTTCAAATTTGAATTGGCTTTTCCCGTTCTCAGCAGCATATAGTTCTCTAACTTCTCGCAACTATCAACCAAAAGATTCAAATATATAGTATAATAATATAAATATAAATGAAAAAAAAACCTAAACAAGTAATTTACCCTATCATGACCCGTTGACCGGATTGATGTCAATTGTTAATTTGATTAAGATAAACAATGAATTTGCACACTGAGCATTAATATCTTGCCAACGATTTTGTAAGGTTTGCTCGGCGCGTTCGCTTTGACCCATATTAATTATGAATTCATCATAAATCCTCCCCCAAAATGTCATTGCATTTTGATCGATTCCGTGAATGACATCTTTGCTTGTATTTAGCCATATTGAGGTAATACAAACATCTTGATCGGTTGTGAAATTCGTCGATCTTTTTGATAACTTCGTTGATTTTTTTGATTTACGCAGAGCAACAACATTAACAATATTTTTGGTTTCTACGGTTGAATTTAAATTATAGCCTTCATCATACAACACCGAATCGTCACTAAGAAGATTTGTAAAAGTCCCACAGTAATAAGAGTTCTTCTACAAAAAATACAATTAAAAATTTACGAGTAAAATACATAAATTAACAAAGCAAATTAACTAAAGTTAATTAACTAACGAAAATCAAGTGAAGATATTTTAACTAAAATAAATTAACTAAGCCCAGCCCAACCCACCCAACCATATCCATTTAAATCAATATGAAGATCATAAAACTAAATATAATTTCCACATCGCCTCTCTCATCACACTGCCGTTGCAAAAAAACAAACAAACAAACAAACAAACAAACAAACAGAGAACATACCTCTGCTTCGCCTCTCCTTTTCGGTCTCACTCGTTCTCTGTTTCACCTCTTTCTTGCTCTCTCTTTTTTCCTCGGAAGAAACTACTCTCCTTTTAGTGTGGAGTCAAATAGAAGATTTGAGAAAATTATTTGGTTGGGTTGTAGAAATATGATGAGGTGAATCTGATTATATAATTTTTCTCATTTCTTACCGTTGGTTGGATCTGATTTTTTGAATCAACTTTTTGGTTTAGAAAAAATGACCGTAGGGGTGTGAAATTACCGTTGGAATTTTTTGAGTATTGAATTTCTGGGAGCCAAAAATGCACCCACCAACCATTGGCACCGAAATAGCCCCTGTGTTTGATTACCCTGTCGAAAAAAATGAAATTTGGGCATCAAAATGGCAGTTAGGCCTCTGATGCCTCGTTTGATTATGCTCTTGGAGTTGCTCTTCTATGCTACACCAGCTGAGATGCACCAGGTAGATCTTTATCATATATACACAAAACACACACACATACATTGGTGTGTGTAGATCAACGGTAAAAATTCATCCGGTGTAGTCTTCATCGGGTATAGCATAGAAATAATCACCCTTGTAGAAAATGATGTTGTATGTGCTTTGAAAGGTTATTTTCACAAAGTTACTGCTACCATTGTCAGTCGGAGTTCTTGCCACCATCGTCGCCCGGAAGAAGAAGAAAGAGTGAGAAAGGGGGTGAACGGTTTACGTGGTGGGTGGAGGGACAGATTAACAAAGAACGATCTGGTTTATTGTTTTACGATAAGTTTGTTTCTTAATCAAAGTAAAATAATTAATTATGAATTATGAATTTATAATTAAGTTTCAATTTTAACTAAAATTGAAACTAGGCTGCGAGCTTGTTACCAAAGTGGTGCCATCACTAACTGGATTCTGGACGTGGATTGGATTGGAAGGAGATTATTGAGCCGTTGTTGTTTGATAACAATTTCATGTATTGAAATTGGATATGTTA